AGCAAAGCTCTAATGCGCTTTCACAGCAATCTTTTCCGGTACACTAAAACCAACAGACCTCAGCTACATTTCTCAGCTAGGAGCTAATGTTTCTCTGCACATGTTACTGTTGCAGTTTCATTTGTCAGTAAAGCCCTATTTACTTGCTTCCTGTTATTAATAATGGGAAACAGGATCTCTTCATACTGTAAGAGAGGCTCTTTTAACTCCTGTCTAGACTTCTCAAGACAAAATATGGATGAGCCCTTTAATGTTTGTGCAGAGACACAAACTGAGCAAAAACCCCACATTACCTCAAACAGCTTAAGACTCCTTATCATACATGCACAAAAAAAAAAAAATCCTTTAAATCACTTGGGCTCACATCTTGTTAGCCACTAAAGTAAGGTTTTCTTTCATAGTTGGATACTTTCTTCATCTGTCACACTGATTAATTAACAGTTCACAGTATGAGCCCTGAGCTTAAATAGCCTACTAAAATGAGGAGGAGAGATCAATGTTAATATTCTGTAGGAAGCTGAAGAGGAAAAATGCTTTCTTTAGTATGAAGGGATATGTCTTCTAATAAAAAAAAAAAAACAACTAACTTCTGTTTGGTTACATTTCACAAGGAGATGAAAGCACACAGCCTGCAGAGGAAGATTGCAGAAGAGGATTAGGACATGAGTTAGAGACTTTAAATGTTTTAAGTTAAGCTGTTGGCTGGAAACAAAAAGCTCTTGAACAGCAGTGAAATATTTTCATTGCCATTAAAAAAAAAGCTAGTTTATCAACACGCAATAAACCAGTCTATAAACACAGTACCATTCCTGTACAGATACATGGGGGAAAAGCATGCAATTACTTGAAACAGAGTTGCTAAAACCTTAAACCTAAACCTGGTTTTAGCCAAAACATTGGAAGCCCATTCTGCCCCCCCCCCCCCCAACACACCTTTCCCAGACTGTTACAGTCCAGCAAATATTTCAAGAGTTTGACTTTCAACAGCTATGAGCTCTCCCCCTTTTTTAAGCCCCTCCAGTACTGCTGAGTGGACGAAAATTACAGATGCAAGAAAAGCTGACAAATGAGTGCAAGGCCCCTCCTCTCCAGTGCCTCGACAGTCAGAGCTCCTGCCAAAACATGCCTGAAAGCTAGCGAGGAGACAAAGACACAAAGATTCCATTTTCTCAGGGAAAATACATTCCATGTAGTAACTACCAGGGAAAAGAATAGCACCCTGGCACATGTGTTGTTTCAAAAATGGAGCAGGAATGAATATTTTAAAAAATTAAAAAATAAAAATTTAATCCTATTTGATTATTCAGCAAGCTCAAACACCGTTTAACACAGCTCTTTTTAAGCTGCTAAGTGCCACAGGGGGTGGGAGGCGGAAAGCTCCCATAAAGCTGGAAAAACGTTTTCAGTCATGGAGAACCATCAGTTCAACGTCGTCCAAGCAAGGAGTTCACGGCTGTTGCTCTAAATCATCTCCTGATAACGCTGTAGTATACACACAACCAAAAGAAAGCAAATCCAACTTTTTTAGCTCAAATCCGTTTCAGTGTGTTTACTATTAAAAGATTCTTCCCCCAGGGTGTCATTAATAAAGTTTCAATGAGTTTGAAACCCTGGCACCTAAGCACTTCCAAGTTTGCAAGCTTTTCATAGCAAGTTTACTACTTTTGGCTTGTTACGCTATCGTGACTGGCATTCATCACTGAGCTGGAGCAGGACTGCCTGTGAGCAGGGAGATCAGCGACCAGGTGAACACAGGCAAGCAGAGCAGACGCAGCAGCAAGACCATGATTTCTCTGCGACTAGTCAGGAGGTTTGAAGTGGAACTGATGGTGGGAAGATTTGGGATGATTCAAGTTTCTCACTAATTTAAAAATAAAAAGGATATTGACAACAGCAACATATGAGATTAAAAACTATCAATAACTTCAAGCGTGATTACAGTCCATTAAGGCTCAGTGGCAAAAGTACCTACTGCTAAAAATAACATGAACTCCCACTTGACTGGGAATTTGGGACGGAGAGTTGTAACATGGAGGCTTAGTCTCAAAACACTCCCAGCTCTGATAGTTACTGCTCATCAGCATGTAACATTATTACAAGCTCTTCACTTATAATAACCCTTTTTTCTTTAATGAGAGGCTGCTTCTACATATCTGATGGCAGACCCACACCCAAATTCAGCCAAAGTTTTCCAATCTTTCAGCAGAAACACTAAAGAAGCATAACTAGAACATAAAAAAAACATTGCATAGTGAAAATATTAAAAAATGTGATTGACAGGGTTCAGACTGAGGATAAAATACAGCTGCTGAGAGCTCTCTGCAACAGGACTTTCAAGGGATCCCTGCCCTGCAGAGAAGACTGCAGGCAGTGAACCCAGCTCTCCATCTCCTCATCCTCCCATTACCCTCCCTTCAGCCCAGCCACACACTGTGGCACCTTCTCTTACCCAGCCAGATGCAGGCTGTGAGCATGTGGCTGGTGATCACCCTGACCCCACATGCTGCCTCACACTCCTGAAGACTGCTCCCCAGAAAGTGCTGGGGATCCTTTGACTAACTAATAAAACCATTTCAGGAGATCAGCACTGGGCGTAATACGGGGATTGAGATAATCAAGAAAAATATATGAAAAAGAAAGACTGCTGAAATACTATCTCCTTATGACATCTGAGGTTAATCTTTTTTGTACTTTTTTTTCCCCATTAGATTTCTTCACATTCTTTGGTTGATCCCACTATCCTCCCAATTGTTAAGACTATGCATATTTTCCATGTCTCCATAGCCAGACTGTATCCAAATGCTTTTGGGTTTGTTTTTTGTTGTTTGGTTGGTTAGTTTGTTTTCTTTTTAAATGCATTTTACCATCCAGCTACCACTCGAGCCCCTTCTTCATCTCATGTTCTCGCTGTCACAAAATACTCTCATCTACTCTGAGAAAATGACACTTCTTCATGCACAGCTATATGCATTTGGTCTCCATTCTCAACCAGACCATGCCACCATCAGGTTTTCATTTCATTACTACAACAGGATCCTAAATTTTGGCTCACAGAGATGTGGATAAAGTTTGCATCTACCAGTTTGATCCTCTGATACTTTCCCTCTTCCTCCCTTCAAATTCTTACGAAATTGATCCCAACATCCTCCTGTACTCTTACTGAAAACAGAACCACTGCACTGTAACACAGAGATCAAGTGATTTGATTGACCAATTTCCAGAAATATTGTAAGCGAAGGAAACTTAATTTTAAGGTCAAACTCTAGAAGGATTACTCATAGCAGAGCTATATTTTAAAAAAGGAGAAAAAAAAAATAACGAGCTGCAGTTACTGACTAGGTGAGAGATACAGAGCAGGAAAAAAAAAAAATCAGGATTTATGAATAAAGTTACAAACATGCTTTCTTTTATACAGTTTGTAAACTCATTCCTCACACTGCCATTACAAAGGAACCTTCTGAGAAAACTCAAGTCATACCAGACTATAGAAATACTGCAGCAGCTGAAAAATATCATTGCTTGATTTCACATATCTAGTGGCCTGTTCCCTCAGTTAGCACTTCCTATTTGAATGGTTTTAAAGACTATTTGAAGACCAAATCCTAAAATTATTTTAACCTATAAAAGGTATTGAAAATCCTGCATCTTTGTCTAAATTCTGTTGTTACAACCTAGCTCATTTTAATGACCGCATGTCCAGGCAATATGTGGCACAGAGCTTGTAAAGGAAGGAGACTTATGTTTTAGTTGGCACTGGTACAACATAGGTCTTTAGCATAAAATTTATTAGTACTAATGGGCATTATGTAATTAAAGCACTGTACTTTAATTCCCTAAGGGGTGGCAGGGTTAGGTTGGTTTTCTTCACATCCTATAAAATAAGCAAATAAATGTGAGATTTTTCAAAGCTATTAGAAAAATTCCAACTTGCACTTTCCTCCATTAATCATAGTGGAGAAGGTGTAGCTAAACAAGATGGATCTGAAATTCTCAAAATGTCTTCCATGGAACTACTGAAGTTTGATACTACATAGCAGTCTTTTTAAGAATGCTGTGCAATTACAGTATTTTTCAGACCACAAACTCTTCAAAAAGTCATCATTAGACCACTGAAAACCATAAAATTAAAATTCTTTTTAGATTTAATATATACCATATTTACTTGATACTAGACTTATTTAGATGATCCCAACCTAATAGAGTCACTTCAACAAGCAACTGAAATATTTGTTACTTGAGCCCTGGCATTTTCAACCCTGAATGCCAAGAATTTAGAGCTTTGGGAATCCCACATAACCCACTGCACTTCAGGGAGAGGGGGTAGTCATTTATGTAGTTCCTTGGGTACTTTTGAACATTGCAGATTAAGGCTGGAACAGTTTTCAGAGCTGAATTCTGCAGGTTTTAATCAGAATTGGTGCATGGTACCAATAAAGATCAGATTATTACTGAGACCTGTATTTCAGTATTTAAGTGAGATTATTTTTCTTTAAGACAGAAATGAATTTAAAACTATCTTGTGGAAGAAGACCAATGCATGCAGGTTTAATATTTGAGCTTTCAGAAAAGGATTTTATCAACACTAATCTGCAACACTGAAAAATAAGCCTACATCTCGTTATCTGGTAATTTTTTGTTTCGTATGTCTGAATAATCTCACAAGAGCAGCAAACCAGAACAGCCTGAGACAAATATTACAGGGCTATGTATTTATAATGCTTAAATTATTGAAAAATATAAGGCTTATTCACAGCGTTGTGTCTCAGTTTAATATGCTAATAATATAATTTTACTCAGAGCTAACTTGAAACATATCTTACCAAAAGAAAAACAAACATATCCCATGAAGAAAAGAATTTGTACAAATAGTACTGAACCACTCAGACCTTTATTGCAAAACTAGCAATTTTTCCTTGGGTAATGTCAAGGCCAATTATCAGCTGATCTATTGATCTTACCCTAAACTATCACACAAAATCATTTATTTCTTTGTCTTCTAGACAAATCACTGCAGAGCTGCAGACCAGCAAAGGAAGTGAACTGAGGGCAATTTGACCAACATCGTCTGTGTCAGCTCCCCAGAGGTTGATGAAACATGTTATCAGGTCTCCAAGGTACATCCCAGAGATTACTTGGTTGTGCCATACAATTAGTAAATGATTAAAACAAGCTGTTTTTTTAATTACATTAAGATACTTGCAGCAGTGAGAACTATTATCTTCTACAGAAGAATGAACCTCCCCATATTATGTTGTTTATTAGCACCGCATTAACAATGAGCCACCTCAGCCAAATGGTCAGGCAGCACTGTGGTCTCAGGTACAAGGAAAAGATCATTATGAAACTCCACCTGCCTCATTTGTGCAAATCAAGTAAGTATGTACTTGATACAAATCACTGATTGAACAAGAATACTTAAATGCTAGTTTTCATCTTGGGCTTTGTGTATTTTGTGCCAAACCCATAAGCCTTCTTCAGAGGAATCAACAGAACAGTGTAGAGACTAGATTAAACAGATGAGTTTTTAAACAACAAAACTTTGTTTGCTTTTGACAAGAATAGGACCCCAGGTAAATGATGTTTTCTAATATAGCACAAGAAAATCTCAATTATAGCAATCATTATTCTAGGCGCTATGTGCCATTTTATATTCCCAGCAGGATGTTTTTCATCTCATCAAGAGTTTCCAAGGCTGTTTAGTGTCTCTGTATACGCAAAATACATTTAAGCCCCACCCACCCCCAAAGATCTGCTAATTAAAAAGCCTAGTCAAGTGGTCAGACAGACTGGAACTTGGGGATTATAGGTAAGAGGGATGAAATGAAGGCTTGGAAACTATAATTTCTCTGGTAGCAGTAGAAGCAGCTGTTATAGACCAGGCAAATTAAAGATGTGGCTGACTAAGCCAGCAGTTTGGAAACAAGACATTGCAAAACCATAACAGCAAGTAATCTACACCCCACTTTTAAGAAGCCAGAAGTGCTGGCCGTTTCTTTTTCTCTCTCTCTCTCTCTTCCTGTTATTCTTATCTGTCACAAATATACTCCAGCTGGTATACTTCCAAGCCTTTGCTCACCAGTTTTAATTTTCCACCCCATCTTGGGGAGTTAACAGTAATTCCTAGGACTGCAGGCAAGTGCTCCACAGAGGGAGTTGTCAGCAAAGAAAGGACACTTGTAAAAGAAGAGCAGGTGAAATAACAGTTGCAGTTCTACTCCCCAACCCCCCCCCCCCCCCCCCCCGAATGTTGCTCATCAAACATGTAAAAACAATCTGCCCATACCAAAAAATATTGACCAATCCTTGAAAGAAGTTTCTTCTGTCCTCTAAAATCAACCTCTAGATACAGAACGTTTAAAAACCAGACAGACTGCCACCACATTTTTGAGATACACTGATTGAGTGTCCTGTAATTTACTATCTTCAGTAAGAAGCTTCTCTTCAGCTTCTAGTCTGTTTACCCTGATTCTTCTAAAAATAAGTTTAAAAAAATCATTGTGCCATGAATTAATGAGGCTGTATATTGTTTTCCATATCAAAAGTGATGAAGGATCTATGAATTACTGAAAAAAGCTACCTAAAAAAAAACACCACTCCAAAACAACCTTCTGTTTCCTCAACAGCAGGTATAGACTTCCTATTAGAAGGAGAACCAGCATTAGTAGCCTTAAACAGCATTTAGGTCAGTGTTACAGTCCTACGTCTCAATTTATGTCAGCACAAGCCTGTAGACTATTTTTGATCTCAGTTTATACACCATTAATGAATATCACCCAATCTATTTCCCCTGTTTATTTGCACCCAGAACAACTCATAATTTCAGATTTGTGGTAGATACTGAAATGGCAATGCTTAAAAAAATGTATTACTCTAACAACTTTGTTAATAATGTTGCCATATTGAAACACTGCATCTGATTTCAGGTCTTTGCTAACAATTATTCATTAAATATATCTCAAATCTTTGAGATCCATACCATAAATCATTAACAGACAAAGCTGATACAGGCAAAATAAGTGCCCCATTTTTAATCAGAAATTTATTTCAGATTGCCTGGGGCCTTTATCCAATACCTTTACCTGAAACAAATCAATTGCCAGTTTGCATTTTCATACAAGTCTAAGAATGCGATAACAGCAAAAGAATTCTAAAGGTTAAAACCCATAATCAGTACCATCTCCCCCGCTGCCCCTCTGTCAGAGTGGGTATTTGAGGAGATTCTTTACATTTCCTCCCACACGGTTTCTCTGCTTCATAAGCAGAAGCCAGCTGCTGGTTCTTTCAAGTCTAGCCGTTAGTTGACATTTACCATTAGTTTATGGTTTGCATTCTATCTTAGCAAGCAAAAGAGCTAGAAATCTTCACTCTTTAAAAGTAATTAACGCTTTATATTTCTAATTCTTCCCAAACTGGAGGCTCCTCGAGCCAAGTTTTTTTTGGTGAGGCATAAGGAAGGGACAAAAAGACAATGCTGTGCACCAGCACAATGAGAAAAACCAACAAATCCTGGCTTTAAGGTTACTATTCTTTCCCCTGGAAAACACCTCATTGCAACTCTTGACCAGCAGTGTTAATTTTGTTATTTCCTTTTCAATCTCAATCGCTAACAGTGCTGCGCAGAGTGATTACATCTCTGACTTTGCAAATTGGACAGCATTATTTAGTAACTGCCATAAAAAGAAAAAGGCCCACATACACACCTATGATATAGTAATTGGAAGGAAGAGATGGGAGAAATGAGTTAAAGGTCTAGAAGGTCTAGAAAACACTTTATTTTTACTTTTTACTTCTTTTTTTCCTATCAAATCCAGCTCAAACCTATACAAAGTAATATATCAACTCCTGCAGACAAGCCTTGCATTACATACCCATGGAAAATACTGCTGCTATAGCTCAAGCCCCCCCCTCTAGACACACACACAGCTATGATACAGGTCTGACATCCAACTAGTTTGCAGATAAGTGCACTGACACAGGTCTGTAATCTTTTTCCTTCTGAAATTTATTTTGAAAACAGATTCATTTATGAATTTTATGTATATGATATTTTGATACCAAAGTAAAAAGAGACATGGCCACTATTTTAACAATAGAATACAGTTTCTAAAATGATTTTCAGATTAATAGATATTTTTAACTCAATGAAGAAAATATTTAAAGATTGTTTTCCTTTAGGGCAAGCTCATACATGAAGGAATCAGGAAAACAAGTGCTCTCACAAAGAAAATTCCTCCCCAAATTAGGAAGTCAAAAAAGCCGTATCTGTAGTTGTTAAAAGCCCACTATAGCCTTCAGTAAAACTAAGCTCAGAAGTTGATCAGCTGGTAATACTGTGTTTGTTTAATGGACTTTCACAGAGCAGAAATCCATAGTACATAGCCTTTTATCTGATGATATGTACTAATAAAGAGCTTTAAAAGAGGTAACGTTAACAAGATTGCTGTAGATATGGAAAGGGACTTAGAATGTACAATTACTGGAAGGCTCCAAAGTTTATCTAATGTGTTTAGGAGACACGGAAGAAAGCCATCCAATAGCTCAGTACATAGCGTGCCAGAAAATACCATACTGTGTTGCTGTAGGTCTAGGTCAGGACATTTGAAGACTTCCATGACTTAATGGGTTTTTTCTCTCCTAAGTCAAGGCTTCCATGAGTGATCATTGTTAACTGTAGTTATAATAGTCATACTGGCTCTCAACATCTGCAGGAACTCAGCAGTGCAGCTGTTCATTGCATACGTTAGACAGCTCTAAACACTGTAAAATCAGGTCAAAATAAAACAAACAAGGCCCCAAAACTAAGAATTTCAGACAGGTAACTGAGATAAAATGTAGCAACAACCTTTTCCCCAGGTCAGCAAGCTGAAAGCATTAAGAGAAAAAGCAGTTTGCAGCAATCCACACACAATAGGTTCTGAGCATTACTTCCTTTTATTGTGCATTGCACTTATGGGGCACTAGATTTTTCTAAACACTATCCAAAGCATACTTTCAAGTCCAGCCAACAAATATCTCAATGTCACAGCAGCCTTTCAAGAGAAAGTTACAGCTCTCAGTTTTTCAAAAGACAGGATGAAATATTTCAGGAGACCAAATATACCCCAATGCTATCTCCTCTTGTTCCCTTGAATTAAGGGAGGAACAGCTTATCTGGATGGCAGAATCTAACTAAAAATTCTCATTTCTAAAGAATAAAGGAGAAAAGTACCAATCATTTAACAAGGTGGGAACCTATCTGGATGGGACAGAAATGTGTGTTTCTTTTTCTAAAACAATGATTCAGAAACACACCTGAAAACACATTAAGTGATGAACATTAAACATTAAGTACTAAAAAATGAGGTGCATCCTGTGGAAGCATGATCCAACCATCACCTTTCTTTTCCCACTGATTGAAGCTTTAAAGCAAACCAAACATACCTGCGTTCAAGTACAAACAAAAGTAATCTACAGTATTTTACCATGCATGCTGACCTTACGGAAAGACACTTTCCAAAGTTCAGTTAGCATGTACTTCAAAAGAGCTGCTGTGTTAATCAACAATAAAATTAAGCTAAAGTTTTGCATGGTTTTATATCTGAATCTTTCTTTCATTCATACATCAGACTAATTATTTTTTACTCTTCCACAGAGTCACTTCAGCCTCATGACCGGGATTTTCCCCCTGCTCACACTTTTACTCATTAGTTTTGTATTTTAAGGCAGTCCTCACTTTTTTAACATTAGTTCCAGGGGTTTTTTTTCTAGTTTATTGTAGTAAAAAAAAATATTAAATAAATATACAAGTACTCAGACAGCAAGATGCTTTCTGCAGGACTCAGTGGAATAAACACAAGAGTTTTCCACTGCTCTAAACAGAATTCTTCACCCACAGCTACAGTGCTTTTCTCTCCATACATGTATATGGTGATTTCACATCACTGCTAAAGGAAAACTACCATTGTAGTTTTCTTTACTAGAAAACATGAACATTGAATATATGCATTACTGTTACAGACTGACTGGAAAAGAATATCTATTTCTTAAAGGGAAAAAAGTTTTTGAATTGTTTATTTTTTTTTCCATTTGCTGTTAAAGAGAGGTATGGCTAAATTATTTTAGTTTTCTTTTGGGGAGAGGAGATTTTAGTAAAGGAATGAGGAGGAGAAGAGCTAGGCAGCATGATCACTTTCCAGACAGATAGCAGTCTGATCGGTAAGACTTTCACACAGAGTATCGGAAACCCAGATTTCCAGGCCCCTCTCTGACAACAGAGCTCTGACATTCCAGAAGCACACCAAAAGCACCAGGCTGTCAACCATTCCAGGGCAGCAAGGGGTCTTTTTGCTTCTTTTCACATAAAAGGCCTTTCCAGCAAAAAGTCCAGTGAAAAATATATTTCTTCAAAACATCCTATGTTTTCCCCGCAGGGGAAAAAATTGATTAAATTTTCAACCGAATGAAGCTAGTTTTGTATACATCTGCAATTGCATGGAAAAACTAACAGAATCAGAAAAAAAACATTCTTTCTATAAAGTTCTAGTAATACCTTTAATCATATTACAAGCTTAATGCATTACATTAATTTGTTAAATTAACACAGTTGGACTTTTAGATCAAACAGGAGAGAGAAGATTGTGATCCAACAAAAGCACGTTATAAAAGCACTGCTGTTCAAAACAGGCCAAGTATTTTCTTGTGCTTGAACTCTAACAAAGGGGTGTTTCCTTCAAACAGTTATTAGGTGTTTCAATTTTGTTACCTTTTTTTTCCTTTTTAATGGTAACATTTCATACTGCATTATTAAGTAGACTTTGTTCTTATTCCTGTGAATAGCAATTTTCTTAGGACAGTTTTTTGGTATTAGTAATAGTTGTGGTAGGATTGCTTTCTCTCAAGTTTGTTTTTTTACAGAAGACCACAAACCTCAGAAGATCACTGTGTGGAAGAAACACACTGGGCCAACCTATCATGTCGATAGTACACAAAGAACAGCCCAGTTTGGTATTCTTTCTACTCTGAAGTCTCATGTCAGGTAGTGGAAACTAACTCACTCATCTCTTTACTGATGAATGTTTATTTTTTTTTCTCTCCAGCATCTTCCCTTTTAAGAACAAATTACATGTACAGATTCTGGAGAGATACCTGCTGGTGCCTAAGGGCCACATTAGATGCAGTCATTCCATCAAAATGTGGGGAAAGAGGCACTTGTTACGGGGTCCCCACACCTCTCCTTTTTCACATACCCAAGTAAACTCAATTATAATTGATGCAGTATGCAGAAAACTGAAGAGGGCTGATTGAGTTTAAAAGCTATACAGTTGCAGCTTCATTCAGGAAATCCCTCCAGGCATGCTTGAATGTTTAGTAATAAACCTAGACAACAAAGCGAGTATTCAACCCTACATGCCCAGAAGGAGGGAAGATACTTTTCTCTATACTCCTAAACCCATGTTAGCCCCTCCAGTCTTTCTCCAGCCAAGCAGTATTCTAGGAATCCATGAATTGTCATCTTCACATTTTTATCCTGAAGGCAGAGCTTGATTTGTAATCTTGATTACAAATTTCTATTGCAATGATACATCAGCATCATCACCTGGAATCAGGATCAAGGTCCTATTTTGCTACACCTTGTAAAAAAAAAAAAAGAAAACCACAAACAAAAAAACTCAAGCAAAAGCCCCTCAAAACAAACAAAACACCTTTTTTTAGGCTAAACAGATAAGGAAAGTAGAAATAGCCACACAGAGTTTAGGGACAGAACAAAAATTCATAGGCTTTCCTCCTCTTCCACAAGTACCAGTTATAGCTAGTAGTCAAGAAGCTTTCTTCCCTTGATTAGCTGCTCACTAGGGCACTGAAAATTATTTATGTGATCTGTAGTTATGATTTAAAACAAGATAATCCACAATCAGAATATCTGCAGCATTTAATGGAATAATTATGTGTGATCAAGCCCGACCCAGTCATGAATATGTTCAAGAAATTTTAACTCATGCAATTTCAACCAGGGTAGAAGATACCCTAAAATACCCCCAGATGTGTATGCAATGGGTACTACTCAATTATCTGTCTATTCTGTGTGAAGTATGTGCACACCATCCTAGCATCTCCAAATGCCCTTAACTAAATTGTCAGTTAATCCTTGAGCTTTTGGGTTGTTTTTTTTTCCCACTGATTACATTAAAAGTTCTCAGAGTACAGAAAAGGAGCAGATGCAACATTACTTTAAAGACTCTAATTCCTTCTTTGATTCAGTCTTTGAGGTAGCATCAGCAATCATATTGCAGCTAAGAGATCAGTACCCAGTCCATCACCATGAAGTATATATTGTCTGATCCTGAAGGCAGAAGTTATGGTGATAGAAAAAAAAGCCCAAACAATGAAATACTTCTTCTGTGCTATTCAAGCTAATAGTTTCAAAGCTGTTAATAACTTAACATGGACAAACATACGACCATTTCTGAAATATTTAAAATAATCTTAATTTCAAAGTTTCCTTCTGAAAAATCATCTAGTAGTCAGGCACAGCCTCTTGAACATTACAAAGAACATTAAGGTCAAGTGTGTCAAACATACTGCAAACTTTTCTAGCATTTCTCCTAATTTTCCTATCAGAACATGTTGCAACTGAAGGTTATGGATATAATATTAAAACATCAGGCTTTTTTTTTTTCCTCAAAGTTTGTGACCCATCACAGTTATTAGCAATTTGGTTTGTGAGCACCTGTTACAACACCACTAAGCTCTTCCATAGACTCTAACTATTCTTAAAAATACTTCCACTAACTTGAAGGACAATTTAGCATAGGTGGTGAAGGCACTACATAAATTCTAACTTTCTGTGGGATTCAAAATGCAGGGAAAAGAATTCTAACCTTCCAGGCTAAGCTTTTGTGACAAGGGTGCTAAGAAAGAGATTATTTTTCACAGGTCACAAGCAAACCTGTAAGAATTTTGCAAGTAGATAGTGCCCTTCAATGCTGCTTTCAGCAACTGATTTATACATAAAAGTTCTACATTTAAAATAGAAGCATATCTCAACATTTTAATCTTACATGGAAAGACATGATGGAAATTAAAGAAACTAAAGTTTACCCAAAATTCAAACTTGTAGGTTGCACATCTGTGTAAATAGTACACAGCAAACCATGAGCTACTTGCACAGACGCACACAGGTCTGTAAAACACTGAACTTGAGAGGTTTAGCATGAAGTCAGAGGCCTCTAGGTATTTCAATTACTGCGTTGGGTTTTCTTTTTTTCAATAGTGTGTACACCTTAGGTTGGTTTAATCACTGTGACCAGCCATAGCAAGAAATTCAGTCATGCTAAGCCAAACGATAATGATTCTATTCAGACAGCAAGGAAAAAAAAAAAACACAGAAGAAACCAGAAAAACAAGAATTCTCATTTCTGTTTGCATGATTCCTGTTGCACCATCAAGCAGAAAGACATACAAAAGTGCAGGGCAGTGAAAAGAGAAACTAGCAGTAAGTGTAGGAAGAGGAAATGAAAGGAAGACTTGTTTTCAATATTTGTACCTCAAGACTCAGAATTTTGATACTTAAGATGCTTCAAAATAACAGTAAGAAAGAAAATTATCTCTACAAAAAAAAAAAAAAAGCTAGAAGTGGTGCAGTTCCTTGACATACTTGAAGGTTATACCTGTTACATTCGCTGTTAGAAGTTGAGAAAACTTAACCTTATGGAATTTGTAACTTGCAGGCACTATTTCTAGTTAAAGTCTCGGACTGTCTGACAGTAAACTTTATTTAGAGCCACTAAACACTTCTGCCCACTCTGTCCCAAGTAAACTCTTCTGCCTTTCTGGATATTGGTGAAGAAAAGCAACAGACAACTGCTTTCATTTGGTCAATGTATCTTTTTGCATTTTACTTACAGTCTTCTTCTAAGAGGTAGCTACACATGACAAACCAGGTAAAGATATTTTTCAATTAATGACTTTTGCTGAGATACTGCTTAATTGATGCAGTAGCTCAAATTTTCTTTACTTCTCTTTATCTTCAGTAGAAAGTAGATCCATGTCATTTTTCAACAGACAAATAGGTATAATTTGTTTTAAAGTGAGAAAAAGAAAAGCATACATACCATGCAACATTTACCACACTTAGCCCTTGGGGCTTATGCAATAAAGAGACAACTTTTCTGAAGCCCCCTAATTATCCCTTCTGCAACCATTACTATTGTAGCTAACTTTGTAAGCACTGCATGAACATTTTAAAGAGTCCAGCAACTTAGCTAAAATTCGAAACAGCTAGCATTTATGTGGTCTAGCACCAGACATATATAGAACGACCCAGCTGAAATTAAAAAAATGCTCAAGTGCAATTTACAAACAGTACATTCCTCTGTTTGCATCCTATCAGTGTAAAGAAATAATGCAACTATTATGACAGTCTCCTGCTAGAAATGGAAATGCACTTTAAACAAGTTCCACTTACATGGCATTTTTTTCTCTCCTCTTTTGAAATGCATGCTTAAAGAAAGCTTTACAATTAACATATTGTGCACATTTTGCAAGGTCCTCAAAAATCAGGAACTGTTTCTGGAAAGACTCACTCCAGTTTGGCAAACAATTATAGCATACATTACACTAAGGTGCATTAAATGTTTGGCTTCTGCGAGGGCAAAGAAACATGTGCTTACCCACAGCTAAGCTCAATAAGCAAAGTAAAGTAAGTTATAATTTAAAATGGGGTTAAAAGAGAAAAAAGTAGAGAAAGGGAAGGAACAACAGATCTAAAAGGCAGAGAATGTTACAGCAGTCAAATGGAAACAAATGAGATATTATAATGCAGTCACAGGACTATGTGTAACTCTGTTACAGCTAAACACCAATAGCTTCTGGTGAAATTAGTTCTGTGGGCTACTTTAGTAAAAGTATAAAGAAACATATTCAAAAGCCAACAAGCACAAAGAAAACATAGTCATGACTATTCACAATAGCGAATTCTGCACCGAATGTGTGAATGGGACATGAGTTAGGCAAAATACAAGCTGCCTCCCTTTGCCTGGGATCTTTGTAGTGACACAAGCTAAGCAATCCAAACAGAAAATGTCTGTCTGTGCTAGGAGGAGGGGAAGAAATAAGCCACTACAAAAACAAAAACTGCTTTCCTCATGGAAGAATGGTAACTTTGGACAACATTTGGCACCACAAGTTCAAAGGGCTATTTCATCTGCATTGTAAGTACAGACCCAGAGATTTTAGAGTATTCCTGTCTCCGTGTTATTGCTTTTTGTGCCGTTAATGGCATTTAAATTATAGACCTGCTGCAGCCACGTAGTCAAAACACCACATCCCCCGATGAGACACTGTATCATAATGTCAGTGTGTCTAACTGTTCTTTCGTATACTGTACTTCTCGTCAATCACCCTTTTTCTCTGCCAAAGAATAGATACAAGAGACAAGTCTATCTTTAGGCTTCACTGAAATTTCTTAGTCAGCTGCCATACACTTCATTCATCACATAGGCAAGACTCCTGTTTAGACCAACAAAATTTTTTGAGGAACAAGTAGCACAGAGCCAGATGGTCATTAAGAATTTTAAATAAAATCATAGGACACAGGGAGTCAGATAGAAATCAAGTGCTTTACAACAAACTAACATCTAAACTAGATCAGGTGGGATTTCTTTGTTTCTTTGGGTTTTGCTTGTTTGGTTTTTTTTTTTGTGGGTTTTCTCTTTTTTTTTTTTTGTTTTTTTGTTTGCTTGGTTTTTTGGTTGTTTGTTTTGTATTATTTTTTTTTAAGTATTTTTTCTTTCCACTTTCAGTAAAATAGTCCAGATGTCCTGTGACATTCTTTTCCAGAAGCAGGTATATATTGACCTATACAATAAGTAGTTATTCACAATAACAAATATGGATTAAACAACAATTTTCAGATTGACAGCATCTGGAAAAAGAAAATTCAAATTTCTAAGCAATTGTGTGACAAAGTCTGAGGCATTCCTTTTTCTAAATTTTTCTAACAATAATATTAAACTGGTCATATGAAGTCATTAATAGAGCTAGGTACTCAATTCAGACTTTTGGTCTGCATTTATAAACTTTTCTCCATCTCAAAAGACCATGAAAAGCTGTTTCAAAGTTACAAAACTTTTCGGGGGGGAGGGTCTGCTCCTATAAGTTCTTCTGCTGCTTACAGCTGTCAAACAGCCACATCCACTTAGATGAAAGCATTTATCTAATGATGAATTTTCAGGATTCCATAATTACCTATTTTCTGCAATGTAAATTACATGCAGTTAATCAGTTTGAACGCTCAAACCCTCAAGTTACAGTTTCAAAGTGTTCACACTAAGAAAAAAAACCTAACATTATTAAAATACAGTCAGCCAGTTTTATTTGGTATTGGCTTATTTCTGATGCCCAATGCAAAATATGAGTGATTTTTGCTTTTTGAAGGCATAATCCCAACTCAGAAGAGCTAGCTATCAGGAATCCAGGAAGTTTTTTGCACGTATTTAAACTTGCCAGGGCAAATCAATATATTCAACAGTTCAACTAACTTTTTAAAATTGTTTCCACCACAAAAAGGGGGGGCTGGGGTGAAGGAGCAAGGGGCATGAGCCTACAATTTTCTTTTGAAATGCTAAAATAATTTTACTATTTACCTAGAGGAAACCGGTATCTTTTAAGAGTGACCTAGCTTCTTTATTTCTTTTATTTCCCCCGTGCACTCCATTTTATGCCATCCAACTCTACAGTGATTTGGCACTGGATAGCAGAGTATGTAAGCAAAACAAAACTTCCCCCAGCTCTTCACCCACTCCTTCTCACAGGCAAACTACTGCAACAAATACCCACCACAGTACAGTCATTGGAAAAAGTCATGCACACACATGAAGTTCAAAAATGCTGGGTGGTTTTGTTTGCTTGTTTGTTTCCAAGTGTCGATAGTCAAAAAGATACAATTATTCTCCCTGACCTTTAGAACAGAAAGGACTGAGCATCCTTTGGATATACAAGTTTTTCCTCAGCTGACAAAACCACATCATAGAAGCAGATTTAGCCTTGAGCTGTCTGAAATATCTTTATCAAGAGAAGTGCCTCTGAAGCAGTTCTATCAAGACGCATCAATATATACTCAAAATGACTGAAATAAGAGACACTTGCGCATTAAGTGAGGTCAGAAGAGACCTCAGCACCTCACCTAGGCCAATGTCCTACTCAAACCAGAGCACAACCTGGCATTACCCTGTGCTAGGTGTCTTGTCCCATCAATTTTTAAATATCACCAAGAATGGAGAAACCAGCCTCTGCTGACATGTCAGTGACAATCTGAGGCAAAACCTTAAACATTTATTAACCCTACATACAGGTTTACATCGTCAGCCAATGACTAAAGTGAAGAAAATCTATGTCTTAACTATAGCCTTTAACTGTTCTTTATGAATTATCTCCTTTGAAAAGAGAAAAAGCTGCAGTATGTCACATACTACCCCCATGGTAACTTTTGGTAAATGCCCTCATTTTAGTTTAGACCACTACATAAGGGTATATTAAACGACTTACTAATGATCACTGAATCTAGCCGTGGATGACCCTTTGAAGATACTTTCAGTTTTTTGCACCGTTTTAATCTAAGCACACTCATTAATGCCTGAATAATATTTAGTTCTTTTAAATTGTCATCCACTAGAACTGCCTCAAAGGGTCTTCAGAAGTTCATGCAGTCAGCCTGGGCTGGATTCATTCCAAGTACTGATGGCTTGTTCCGACAATTTGATCTGAAAAATCCTCCTGGAACTGAAGTACTTTGCCTTGCCTAAATTCAACTCTAAAATCCAGCATACAAATTCCCATTTGCCTTGATTGAGAGCAAAGTACCTGCCCCTGGAATACCTCAATATTTATAAGTGAATATGACAACACCCTTACCCCCAAAATCGTTATTAAAAGAAACTAGATTTGAGGACTTAACAACTTGTGATCTTCCACACAGAGTTTGCCTCCTTTAGTTGGTTCAATAAAGATTTTGATCTCTGGCCTTTAAGGGTGAAAATACTAAGTATTCTTTTCAGATACCTGCTTGAAAAGATGTGGGTTTGTGTGAAAGCTTTACTTCATGCTTGAACACTACCTGGCTGTAATTTGTGTTTCAGGTATAATATGAAAGAGCTTACTGGGGCTCATTTGTTTTAAGTATTTCAGACCTGTTTGTCTGTTTTCTCTAAATTAATTCCTCAACCTTGTTCCATTTTTAAAATTGTGTGCAGGGGTAGCACAACCACCTATAATACCCAATTTGTATATTCAAAAATCCAGCCATAGGTAGTTAATTTCCTTACATAGTCAAGTAGCAAGCACCAATATTCAGAGACAAGAGATGTGACGGGACTGAAGGGAACAATAACATAGAAGCTATGTGTCCACGCTGGGCTTTTCACTGCTTATCATCACCCATGCAAAGGACTATAAAGGAACATGTAGCAGGGATACTGTACATATGTACCTCTTCAATATTGTTGTAAATTTAATGATATGAAAAAAAAAAGGTAAAAATTAAGCTACCATAGTAGAGAGCAGAGAGTTTCCATATCAGTTTAATTATTACTCTTATAATCAAATCTCTGCCATAGACACTCTCTGGAGTTAACATGAATTAACATAATCTGTGACCTATTTTGCTGAGCTCATCCAGACACCTCAAGATGCAAAATTTTTAATGAAATTAATTACACATTTTTAATCATGTACCTGGCAGATAGAGCATTATTTTTTTTCATTATTATTTGAAAAAAATATTGAGGGCCATACTTCAGGAGCAAAGAAATCAAAACCAACCCCAAACAACTTCCAAAACCCATAACAACGTCTATGCCTGCATACTGGTCCTGAGAAAAATGCCTCTATTGCTTGTCCTAGGACAAGCTTTCTAATTCCTTCCCCCCAAACTTCAGAAAACCAGAAAACAATGAGAATGCAGTATGATGAAAAAGACAAATCTAAAGAGAGTTACACCTCAATTGAATATCCATGTCAAGTTTAACAAGAAATTATATAAGTAGCTCACTACGTTATCTTCAGTTTATAATTACAAACTTGTCAGAAGTCACAGACATGTAACCCCTTGCAATGCAATCTACATTGCCACAGATCACAACAGAATACCTCCTGAGGTTATTTCCCTTTTTTCCTTCTTGCAGTGTATTTCTGCAACATATTTCTGTGTTCTATCATTAAAGTCCAACTGGAAGCACGCTTCTGTTGCCAACTAGTATTCCCCCACAAACTATTCTTCCCCATGAAGTAAAGATGTAAGGACAGTACTGCAAAGGGCAGAACAAGAAGTAGGGAAGGTGAAAGGAAGAAACACATAGTAGTGCTACCAGACTTGTATGAGGCAGCATCCATCTTAGTCATAACAGCCCTTCAACTGCACCTCATCATAAGCTATTGCACACCACACCTCTTACAAGAATAGGCATGTTTTCCATGCTTCTGCATTTGTTTTACATAAGCAACATTTGTTCTCCTTCATTTTCTCAAATTAAACACTGAAAAATCAAATGCAAGAGAAGATTCATACTATAGTACATTTTTACAATTAATTTTCCCAAGTATCCCCAAAGGCAATTAGAGAGAACTAGATTATTTTCAGTTACCTGATCTTCTGAATAATAAGCAAAAAGTTTTTAAAGCAGCCTAACAAGATACTTAAGCAGGTGAACGTGGATAAGGAAGCTCAAAACACAGTTAGCTACTTCCAGAGTCAATTAAAAGTAAAATCCCTTCTTAAAAAGTTCTCATCTGAAAAGGAATACACACACACACTTTTTAAGACAGACTCTAGCTGGCATACTCAGAGCAGAAAAAACTGCTTCACACATTTTAAAGTTTGACTTTGTAGATAAGCAAGGCTTAAGACTCCCATACAGTGAAGTTCAATCATAACATTATCAAAATCAAGGTTATTAAACAGGGCTTTTTTTTTTAAACACAGAAAACAAGCTGTCTTGAAGGTGACACATTGCTTGCATTAAGTCTCCACATTAACATTTTAAAAACAAGAAATCTCTCAGAGCTGTTTCCCACCATTTTAACTGCAGAAAAGAACTTGTAACCTACAAGACTTCTGTTTCTGTCTGAGCCATTCAACTACTTGCTGGCAAAGTAATAAGTAAACTCTAACAATTTAGCACATAATGAATATTATTTTCTTTTGTCTTCTCAGGTT